TATAGACCACACTTTGAAAGCTTAGTCTTTTTTTTTTTTTTTTTCGATTGGATTACTTGTAAGAGCATTGGACTCGAATGTTTTGAGATATCAATCTATGGCTTGTTTGAAATGGCTCTTTTTTCTTCTTGTTTAATAATTTCATGGCTTTCTCAATTCTCAAATGTTAGATTATCAAGCTCTCATCCTTCTCTTTTTATTAACTTTGATTATGTTGAGTTAATGCTCTTGTGTTGAGTTGTCAATAGTCTTAAGCTTATTTTTTTATGACTTCTCTCTTTAAATTTTTAACTTCATAGATCACCACTCATCAATGCATTTCAAATATTGAGTTAATCATGGCATACCCCTAACTATCGTTAGCAATCATTCATTCTCCAGTCCACCTCCCACTCGTTATTACATATGCTCATCTATCATCTTTTGATATTTACAACTTATTTTGTAAATTCATCTTTGAACTTTATCAAATTCTTGAGAATAATAATTTTTATTTGTGTTTGAATTTCATGGATTAAGTCATACTTGATTAATTTTCTTTAACATAATTTGAATTACTAAAAAAAAAAATCATAGAAATGTTTATAAGAAGGTAATTTCATTCATGACGGTGTTGATTTACTTGGTCAAAAACTAAATATATCATTCAAGTATCATAATGCAATCTCCTCAAGATGATGATTTTTAGGCTAGTGGGGCGAAATGCATTTGGATCACATAGGAATTTTGAAAAGAAATCTTCTTTTTTAAAAAGACAATTATCAAAAGTTGGATCATTTAAGAAGCAAAAAGCTTGAATAGATTTCATAAACCCAAAGGATCTCTTAAAGAAAATTAGGCTCAAATAGGTAGTTTTGCTTACAAATATTTTGATTTTTTGTTCTTGCCCTTAGTTATTTGATATAAACCCTTGATTTGATGTCATAAATAATTATTTGCAATGCACAAGCGATCAATTTTTAGTTCAAAAATGTTTTTTTCTTCTTATTTGAAACTAAATCTCATCAAGATAAACAAGTCATCTTTCATCGAAAAAGTTTTTAAAAGCATGTAAGTCTAAGGCTTTGGTTTATGAAAAAAACATACAAAAATCTCGAAAGGTGTTTGAAGGCATAGAGACTTAGAATACTTATCATTCATCGAGATCACTTTAGACTTGCTTGCCTTGACTTTATCATTTTGATGATTGGTTCATTTTTCATGTCCTTTGATGCTCATAAGAATCTTATGAGACATGTTACCTTGACTTTGTCATTTTGCTAATTGATCTTCTTCTTTTTTTAATTTTAAGAGGTGTTTGAAGGCATAGAGACTCAAAATACTTATCGTTCATCGAGATCACTTTAGACTTGCTCGCTTTGATCGTATCATTTTGATGACTCGGTCATTTTTCATGTCCTATGATGCTCATAAGAATCTTATGAGACATGCTGCCTTGACTTTGTCATTTTGCTAATTGATCTTATTTTTTTTTAATTTTAACTCTCTTTTTATGTTCAATCTTATCATCATTTTGATTTTGAAACTCTTTTTTTTTTTAACTTTAAATCATGATAGGAAATCCTTTTAATAACTTTTTTTTTTTTTTTTTTTTTTGTCTTAGTGTTATCTTTTGTTTCTTTCATTTCTCCCCCCTTTTTTTTTTTTCATTTTCTAAGGTTTTTTTGATAATTTTTTTTTCATGAACCTTCATCATCTCTTCAATTTCTTTTATAGGAGAACGTCATTGATTATTCATAAACTTCTAGGTGTGACCTTAGTCTAGGTTGTTATTTAAAGAAATCTTCAAGGCTCAAAGTTGGCCAATAAATAATAAATTTTGTTCTTAAAAAGTAATATAAAAATGATCTTTCTTCATCTCAAATATGATTTGCCTAGACTAATAAGCTTTATCCTCATTTAAAAATAAATAATGATTGACCTAGGAAACATTGAGGTTAGCCATATAGAAGAAGCAAGTGAGTACTTGGGTTGAGTGTGATCATGACTCGAACGTGTACATTTATCATCATTTTAAGACATCAAATAATTTGGTTTTCCATATTAAGCATTAACGCATTACCTTAGGAAAAATTATTCTTAAAACAGCTTTATCAAGAATAGAAAAAATGTTTTTGGTTTCAAAAAGAGAGATTGTCTTCTAAGATTTGCATGACATGTTTTGAAAATTGATCATTTTAAAAGAATTTTGAATGAATTTTCCATTATATTCCTTTTGACTTGGATGATATAAAATGGCAATTGATACTTTTAAATACATATATCTTGATCTCAAATCAATAATAAAAACACATAAAGAGAGTGAAAAATTTTTTTATTAAAAAATATGACTCAATCCATAAAAAATCATTACAAGGTTCAAAAATTCATTAAAAGATAAAGATTTTATTCCCAAAATCAAGATACATGAATTCTTTTATAAGCTCAAGACATTTTCATATTCGTCATCATATTGAGTGTTTTCTCAAGTGCTTCTTCTTAGTCAATTCCTTCTTTGACATAATCATCATCATCTACTTCCACAGATGATAACATTAATGTTTCTCACACCAAAAGTCATTAAGTTTGTCATAAGATGCATATTAATGTAATACGTTTCACCTTCTTTTATGAGTGATTACCATTCATTCTTGGTTAATGTGTGGATTCCAGTCTCCAACATTAGGCACTTTCAATGGTGTGCTCCATAATCTCCATATAGAATTCACACTTCTCATTTCTATTGCACCATCTAGAAAAGGATAGCTCACTTGGCTTGATCAGAATTAATGTTATCAGACAAGATTGCAATGGCCAGAAATAAATCTCATCAACAACAACTGGTATTATAGGAACAAGTCCTTGTCAGTCTCGAATAGTTCATTTAAATCGACTTGACAAACTCGAGGCAGTCTTGGATTTTGTCAAATAGGAGAGGCATCTCAATTGCTTATGGAAACTTCTTCTTGGAGAAATAAATGATGTTATGCTCAGCTCAAACCATGATACTGGACCTTGACATTCCTAGGAGCGCATGCCACGATGTCATCTTTCCATTAGGAGGACATAGTAACTACATATATGATCATCACATATCATGTTTTATATTGTTGACCATTTCAATGAGATCATCAAAATGAGAAGAGAGACAAGCTATCAAGTGTTTATAGTATCGAGATTCAAAAGTGTTGACAAAGGTGCCAACACGCTCCTACTCAGCCAAACGAGGACATCCTCATGCTACCATTACTCGTGATCTTAGATATATCGCTCTATTGACTCATCATTATCTTTTCTCATGCCTCAAAGGTACCCCTTTATTGGAATTGTCTTAGCATTGACATTACATTCTTTTATCAAAACATTCATCGAATTAAAACTGCCTTCTCTTATAATTAATTGCTCAAAGACAGGATCATGTGCACATATGTTTTTACCCATATGAAATCTAGCTCGAAAGTAGAGAATCTGATTTGACTCATTCATCTTGGATATCTTTTCATTCAAACTGCTCCGTTGATACGATGAAAAGCTAGAAAAAACTTTCACTTATATATATATATATATATTGAAGGAGAATGCCAACATAAAATCAGGAGCTGAAGATTTTTGATGATTAGCAACAAGGCTTGGTCAGATTCGACAACAGTAAGGACCCCTGTTAGACATTAGAATGGTGAGCTTAAAAATAAGGAAAAGAAAAAAAAAAGAAAAATAAATTTATCACCTAGTATTAAAAGTCTTAGAAACCAAAATAACTAATCTACTTAAAGTTCTTAAATAAGAGATTGATTATGTGTAGGAAAGATAAAAATCAACCAACTTTGTCTTACATGAGTTAAGTTGCATCGCATGCAAATCAAAATACAATTTTTAATTTTTATTATGATGAAAGTATAGGCCTGTATTGGGTGTATTTTTCATTGAATCAAAAACTAATCAATCCGAGTGATTTGAGATTTAGCCGTTCAAAAGCCTAGTCCTCAATCTAAAATAAAAAGGTATTAAAACGATAAAAAGGTTAAAAATGAGATGAAAAGAACACGATTTTTATTAAAATACATGACATGAAAAACTACGACATTGATAAAAATATATAAAATCACACAATTATATAAAAATATATATAAACTTACACAACTTATAAAAATACATAAAAACACACGATTTTGTAAAATTATGATAAAATAAATGATTTTACAAAAATAAATAAAAATACATAAAAACACATATAATCAATAGTGACAATACAAGTAATTTTACATGCAATCACATCAAAACGACCTCACAATCAATCATCAAAGCGGAATCGACACTCGTCTTGAATAATTATAGTAATAAAATTTTATTTTCATCATTCTAACTTTATGGTTTATGATTGAGTATTGATTCTAATCTTATTTTCGGAGGTCTCACACTATTGAAATTTGATATGCAGCAACATATTATTCATACTTTTAAATCATTTTTACCATAGATCAATAATCATACAAAAGCTTAAAACAATTTTTATAGCCATAAAGAGTCTTCAAAGCTTATTCGGAAAGCTGCTAAAACGATCAAAATGCCCCTACACAGTCACTGAAAATTGACTTTTTGTCCCTTGCGCGTATGTTGAATTTTTGATGAAAGTGAGAGTCCTTGGAGAGGCCACTGATTGGATGAGTTTCAGCGAGTTTGTCATAGTTAGATTGGACAACTTAACCAAACCTTGCGTAAAATAAGGAAATAAGTTTTATTATGTAATTTTTTTTTTTTTATCAAATCAATATTTTCATTTGATTATCCTAAAAAGATTACGACAACCCTCCTTTTGTTTTTTGCGTATAATCAACGAGAGGCATCACTTTGTCTAACAATTGGCAGGAAGCAAATTGCTGAAACGCAGAATCCTTATTTCTCCGACACAGATGCTTCCACAATACCCCATCACAACTTGCAAAAGCTAACCTCCATTGTTTCTCTTTTACAATTCTTCTACTTCCTTGTATGAAGAAGCAATACTAACCTGGACTCCAAAGATGGGTTTTTCAATAGTGGTTTCTCATGTTTTGATGAGGATTGATACTGGAAAGTTTCCATCTTTAACTGGAAAAGAAAAGTTTAGTCTTATTAGCGATATGAGTTCAAAGTTTAATAAGCCTAGCAAAACAAGAATTTCACAGTGCAAGAGTGAAATGGTTGACTTTGATGAGAGAAGAAGCCTAGATGAGGTAATCCTACTTTTTAATTCTCTTGCATTTTTTATTTTTATTTTTTTCTCTACAAGTCTTCTGGTTCTGTTTTATTATTATATTGCTAATGCTCAACTTATTAGATTTGAAATGAAAAGAAACCCAAATGAACTTCTCTTGATTTGAGTCTGGGGCAGTTTACTATGGTTTGTAGAAACAGTGAAAGATTGATTACCTACATAGAAATGGAGAATTTTGATAGAAAGAGAATGTAAATGATTTAAAGAATTCTTGGAATTGTTTTGGGCTACAGAATTTGCGAAACAAAGGTTGTAGTTTTCGTTCAAGTGCTGGTGTTGGAAATTGACTAATTGTGATGGGCTTCAAGCGCGCATGACGTAAAGCGACTGCCAAGAAGGTTGTATACTATATTGAGCTGGACAGATGATGTTTTGTTATTAAAGATTTTGTATACTATATTGAGCAGAACAGATGATGTTTTGTTATTAAAGATTTAAAGTATTGGAGACAATGCCAATGCTTTCTATGATTGGAGGCCTCGATTCTAAACAGTAGGGATGTGTTCTAACAGCAGCAGTTGCTTCTTCTATGGAGTTTTCTAGGGACAGTGGATATCCAAATTATTAGGCAAAGTAAGGATAATTAGATAAGGAAAATCATTGTTCTAAGTTCCCTGAGTCCATATTCTTGCAGCTAATGCATATGTTATATATTTTCTTCATAGTGATGAAGTATTCCCTTTGTGTTTTCATTTCCAGTGATACTTGTTTCTTTGTTAACATTTAATTTAGGGAGCATTCAAAATGACTTAATGTGGCTACCAGTTGAGCTTGATTCAGCGCTTCTGTGTGTGCATTTGCTTCTTAATTTTGGTTTTTCCCACCTTGCTTCATCATTGAAGCTGATGGTATGACAATATAGATTCTCCCAGCGAATCTTTGAGTAAAAACTGTTATGCAAGGTTCAAGCACTATGCTTATTGCAGTCATAAGTTCTGTTAGTCTTTGGTGGTCCCTTTCTTTGAGAACCAGTAATCATGGAATACTTCTGCTGGCCACATTAAGCTTATCTGAAGATGTTCCATTTCTAGCTGCTATAGAAGTTCACATGGTTTTGCAATTGCAATGTGTGTCCAGGTCAGCTGGTTGAAGGGAAATCGACAGTAAAAGTTTGATTATTGAAATTTTTGTCTTTCTGCTCAGCCTACAACGTTTAAGTTACTTACTGTTTGTATAATGAAATGATTGCTTGTTGGACTCTTTTGTGGGAATATAAGAAATATAGCTTGTAATATCTCTCATTGATGTTATATGCGATCTTGCCTAGTCTGGCTCTATATTTTTCTACTGTGTGCATTTGTATGGAAATATTACCACACCAAAGAACATATTTGTTGGATTCTCCTTAAAATACTTTGATTCAGCTTATAGAGGTCATCTTGTTCGTGTGGTTACTGTTATTTGCTTTATTGACCGATTTACATGGTAGTATGCAAGTTCTGACAAAAATTTCAAATATTATTCGATGATTTGATTTTCATGTTCGAAGATAAGAAAAGATATAGGGAGATGCTATGAACTCATACGCAGGCTTGGAAGGGGAGTTGTTTATTTGGGTTCTTCAAGAATGGGACCTGGTCATTCGCATTATTTGCAAGCACTAGAATTGGGTAGAGAGGTAAGTAATATCAATCCATGTCCTGCTTTCTGTGTTCCAAAATCTGTTTGTAGAGCAGACAACAACAATATGCATAGTTATCGGAACAAAGCATTTACAACAAACTTGGGTGGAATTTTCATCATGGGTTTTTACTGAGTTTTACATGTGTGCTCTGCAGGTTGCAAATCTTTTGGACTGTACATCATGGACTGGGGCTGGTCCAGGCCTAATGGATGCTGCTACTAAAGGTGCACTTGAAGCAGGAAAACCTGTTGGTGGATTTAAGATAGCTAAAGAAGCTGGTGAATGGACAGCTTCAAATTTTCATTCTTACCTACCGTCAGAAACTTATCTGACATGCAGGTAAATATTGCAGTTGCTGGGCACATCGCCATTATAGTTTTGGAGATTCAACAATTGCATGAACCATTCTGAAAAAAAAAATGTAGGTTTTTCTCTGCAAGAAAGCATGGTTTGGTGGATGCTGCTGTTAGGAGTACTAGTTCTGATAGGACTGCTGTAGTTGCTCTTCCTGGTGGAATTGGTACTTTAGATGAGATGTTCGAGATCTTAACACTGATTCAACTACAAAGAATTGGATCAGAGTTTCCAGTTCCCTTCCTTGTAATGAACTATGACTCATACTACCAGAAGCTCTTAGACTTTCTTGGTGATTGTGAGGATTGGGGTACTGTCTCTAAAGGAGAGGTTGGATCCCTGTGGAAAATTTGCGAGAACAACTCAGAAGCTCTGGCATACTTGACAGATTTCTATGCCCTCCCTTCTAGTGGTGAAGAGAGACATGAAGTACGGTTACAGGCAAAGACTGAATAATTTCTTAAAAAGAGTTGATGTGCTTGATCGTCTGAGTTTCATGTCATCCCTTTAAATTGTTCGTGGAAAATATAGGGGTGAAATTGAAAATGTTGCACATTTATGATTGATCGTGCACTTTAAAAATGCATGTCTTGGCATGGTGATCATAATATGAGTTTGATCATAATTTCTTTTTTGAGAAAATTTGGACATGATTTTGAATTTGTTAGAAATGTTAACCAAAATCATTCCTGATTCTGTGCAGTTATAAATCAAATGGACTAAGATTAGGTCGGCAAGAATTGTTATGAGGGTTGTGCATGTTGTGTACTGCCCAGATTTCTTTGGAAGTATATACCTGTACCGGTGTAATGGGTACAACACTGGTATTGGAAAGTATACTCATGGTGCATGGATAGAATGGGAGTTGTTCAGATGCAGTTGAGGAAAAAAACATCCAAAGGTCACGGTGCAATCGTAGAGGAGGTTTAGATGGAGTAGATTTGATCTATTGGTGTTTTAACCAGATAATTTGTTTTTAGTCATTTTTACTTATTACTGTTTCAATGGTGGTTTGATTCTTTTATTGTGGAAATGAACAAGCCAGTCTTGCTGCACCAAGGATAGTAAATCACGGAAATTTTGTGGACTGAAATACTGAAATGAAAATTGACATAAACCAACCTTAACTGCATTATATTAGTTACATATTACTTGAAACTTCTCACCCCATTTCTACCGCTGTGAGTTCTTGTTTTCTTGATGAATCATTCTTGCTTGCAGAAAGTTCTGATTAGGGTAGATTCATTGCTGTTAAAATAAAAAAGAAAAGAATCAGGCAGCCCAAAGAGTCTCACCACCTAACATGAGAACCGCAGTGGACATGGCTAGCCTATCCTCCGGTCGTTTGCACACACGAAGGAACCACATGAATGCTTCACCAGGCTTTAGATAGATAGCAGAAATTCATATACTATATTGTCGATTTGTTCAAGTGGTCTCTCCTCCATATACAGTGATTTTACTGAGACGTATTCAGGGAGCATATAACCACTGGAAAACGATATTACAATCGTCAATGATAGGAAATGGAATACTATACATAGTCTCTGGGGTTTAATAGTAGTGTAGACGTAGCTTTGTCATGCATTCCTTTCTTTCTAGTCGGATTTTTAGTAGGTCAGTCTCATTCGAATTGATTTATTTGTAAGAAACTATTTTCTTGCATTGTTCATAATTTACCGGCCAGATTCAACCCCTAGGAGTCTCCACCAAGCATTAGCCACCATGATCATATAACCTTCTTTAACATGTTTCTTTAATTATAAGAATAAAGTGATACAAATTTAGATAAATCTAAAAACCGGACACCCCAATGTCATATATCAAATTAGTGTTTTGGCATATCAAAATTATTGGTGAACGTAGCATATTTATTTTAGCTTATAGTATAGGCTTAGATGCTTGGCATTCATGAGGCCTTCTCCATCATTAAACTTATTAATTAAAAAAAAAGATGATGATGCTAGAAAATCTTTTTCCTACTTGACTTGTTTTTTGATAATTAACAAAAACACTAAAAAAAGAATACTGTTTGTTTCACTTCTTCTAAAGACTCATGCACGTTATTCATTAACTGTAGTAATTAATATTTTAAATAAGCCCTCTCTTTATTGTGATATTTTTTTGTCGCACTCTATTTTGTTGGCATTTTCTATTATGCCACTTGATGCTTTGTAAAGTTACAATATTGCTCTTTTATAATTCTTATTTTATTTTATTATTTTTTTTTTTATCAGACAGAACATTTAATGCTACCGACTTGAATTTCTTGCTGTAATTCTTTTCTTTTGTCTTTGATTTCAATATATTTTAATGGACCTACATAATGGTTAGGACCATTGAATTATACTGATTTTTTAAAATAATTTCACTTATTATTTTCTATTCTTAACATAACGCAAATAAGCCGCTAGTATAAATGTATATGTCTTATGCATTGGAACTTAAGTGGAATCATTCTTATTCTTATTAGCATTTTTTCTTAAATTTTTTTTGGTTAATGGTTTTCGACGGTTTCTTTATTTAATTTTTAATCTTGTTTCTTTATTCCTTTTTGTCTTAAGTTCGTCTCTTTAACAGCTTTTGTTTTAATTTTTTCATTCCGCTAACTTTTTCGGTATTAAATCACTCCATTAGCCTCACGATACTGTGCCACATGTCTATATATATATATATATATATCTTCCTTTTATTCTTTTTTATTTACCAAATTTAAATAAATGAAATTTAGAAAAAAAAACTGAAGATATATCTAGTCATTCTCTCAAAAAATTGAAAAACAAAAAAAAAAAATGAACAAAGATAAAAATATTTTTTATGAGTTCAAATTTATCTCTATGATAGTAAGCATATTTTAAGTATAAAATAAAATATTTATAGTATTGTTTTAAATATGAATAGAGTTTTAATTAAATTTTTAAATGGTATTTATAATTTTATAATACCTCAAAAAGTGTATTATAATTTACTTTTTTTATTTTATAAATTTTTTTAATTTAACTCAAAAGTTTAAATATAAATTTTGTTAAGAATTTTTAGGAATACAAATTTTGGTTTTTTTTTTTTTTTTTTCATCTCAAGCAATTGGTTTTAGTGAAAAACAACCCAAAAAATTGTATTCCCACTTTTAAGTCAAATTAACAAAATTTGTAACAAAATATAAGAAATTGTTGGATATATTTTTTTTTAATTTTTAGTTTTTTAGAAAGAATAACCAAATATATCTTAACCTTTTCTTTCTAGATTTTTTCTTTTCAAAATTTATGGATTTAAATTGAAAAAAAAAGCACTAAGGGACTAAAATGGGAAACAAAAAAACAAGTTGACAAGTGTTACAATCTTATAGGGCTAATCGTATAATGGTGAGGTGAAGGATCATGTATCATATGGAGGTGTGAAATAAATAAAAAAAATTTCCTCCATTTAAGGCCCCAAAATCATGTCGTTGAATCTACTAATCATACATATATGAATAATAAGCTAAAGTAAAGAATTACCTCTTGTAGCGCGGATCTAAATTCATTTTCTTTGATTAGCCGTCCAAGTATCTAGCCTCTATTGATGATCCACGCGACCCAAGTATTCACTAAGAAGTACTAAAAATTAATAGGGCGCTAACTTCACTTTTTCTCGATTAAGTATTTCTTCTAGAAATCAATCCGGGCAACTTTGCGACAACCTTAAACAAGGAGGAAAAAGTATTTCTTGCTAGGGTTTAGGAGAAAACTATTTTTCCCTTTATTTTTTCTCTTGGCCGTGTGCCTTAACTTATTTTTGGAGGCTGATTGAAATTTCTCCTTTTTTTTCTTTTGGCCGAAATTCTTCTTTTTTCTTTTTGTTGGCCGAAATACTCTATTAGGTCATTCACTCCTTCCTTACCGCACCTCTCTTCCTATATATAGGGGAGAGTTTCCTTGTCCTCTAAGGACAAAAAGAGTGACGGTTTTGAGTCCATAAAGGACTCCAGTGTTGTTGCTTTTTTATTTTCCAAGGATAAGGAGTTATTTTATATGTGGACTACTTGATTATTATCTTTTAAAACATTCAACCTTATCTAGTAAGGTTAATGTTTATCTTTAAAACATTCATCCTTCTCCAATAAGGTTGATGTTTATCCTCCCACCAAAATTATTTTTAAGCCTTTTAATTAAATCTAATGGGCCAAAACTATTTTAGCCCAATTAATTTATTTGGACTATCCAAATAAATATTCTTAAATTATTTTAACGGGGTCCACATTAGGAAACAATTTTTCAAAATACTCTTTAACTTAAATTAGAAAACTCTTTTCCTTTTAGGTTCTTTATTTCCAAATTTAAAACTAACTTCCAAATTAGGAAATCGATTTCTAAAATAGAAAACTTTTCATTTTTAGAAATTTTTTGTTTTTGAAACTCTTTCCAAAATAGGAAACTTTTATAATTGAATTTTTTTTCAATATCTTTGCTTCTCATTTGTAATGTGAATACTTAAACTTATGCGTGTGACTCAATAGGCTCCTAGATATGTTGACAATATATCAAAAATAAAAAACTCATCTTTTATCTCTTGATACATAAATCAAGATTGGCCTCTAGCAAGGCATCATAACTACCCAATTCTCTAGGAGGATTAGTTAATCCATTATTACCTTTTAAGAGCATGGTTATCATATAGTTCGGTCCTCATGTCAACTTATCACAATGTGATCTCGAACTTGGTTATTAGTCTTGTTCGATTATGATCACACAAGTTTTCTTCGATTCCCAAATGTCTAAGCTCATAAAGTAAACCAACTATGCTCTATTGGTATACTCCTACTATGGCCACAGCATTTCTTGAGCGTAAATTTATCGAAGTGCAATGTGATAACTCCTTTAGCATACAAGGAATGACATGTCCTATCTTAGTCATACACCTATCTCCATTGGATTCCTAATGCACCCAACGAATCTCCCACATGTAACTCATTAATGGGTCCATCGAAACGAGTGTCAAAGTGCATAAATCCTCTAATGAGATAATCGTGATGACTTCAAGTCTCGGGACCATTTATACCCATCTCGTATGAGATTCTCATAGACTAAAACCAAATGGGGTCTCATGGCGAGTCAAGTCCGGTGATATGTTCTCTAACATAAATTACCTAAGTGCTTGCTTTAGCATCACTATGTTAATAGGTGTGAGATCTCCTACTGCTATCATATAGCATGAGCATAACACTCACAAGTCTATCCACATATTGTCAATGTTCATTCTTGACAATGCTATGACTTAGGACATTTAATAATATCATTTATATGTATTAGTGTTTGTCTCACATCTTTCGATCAATCACTATTGCAAATGCATATCATAAGAACTTCTATCTAACTCTAATGAATTTATCAACATGTAAACATAAGAGTTAATAGAATGACTTCTTTATTAAACGATGCAATAATACATTAACTTGGGCCCATCCAAACATGATTGGA